TACCAGCAGATATGATTAAAACTGGTGGTCCCAATACCTGCAGATATGATTGGAACTGGTCTCAAGACCAGCAGATATGATTAGAACTGGTCCCAGGGGCTGATGATATAGTGAAACCCAAACCTTCAAGGTGCCCATTGGGGCAGGAAGGAGTCACCAAAAAGGTTTAGCAATTCTAACAGGGAAGTGGAAAGGTAGGAACAGCATAGGATGATGTATTTTGCATCTTCAGCCACCTGTGTTGTTGGTCTGGAGACTCTGGGCCATGAAAAGCTCCATCAGTAAAAAAAAAAAAAAAAAGAAAAAAAAAAAGAAAGGTGGAGAAGTGGGAGCAAGGCAGAATGGAACATAGGTGACTGTAATCTCTAGGGTTCAAGCTGGTAGCATGGTCAGGCTTCTGTGAGAGAATGCCAATAATGGCGGTACCTGAACCGTTCGATAGATAGATGTATAGAAACCTGTGTTAAATATCCGAGACTTATTCTTTGTAGTTGGAAATGATCTCCCTCGTGTATTATTATTATGTAATAACAACTTTTTGTCTGAACATGCTTGCTTGTATTCTTATCAGGTTTGGCTTCGGCTGGGAGATATAGGGGCCAGTGCAATGTTGAGTTCCGCTGTGAAGGCACAAAAGGATGTGGACGTCTCTTAGTGAGTGAGTATTAACACTGCAGTTAAAAAGATGTTGGAGAGGTCTTCTCAAAATGCGCTCAGTCGGATCTATATGTGCGCAAGGCATCCTCGGGCAGATAAACAAGATTTACTATTCCATTGCCCCAAAGAGGGTTCCATTGCAAAATGTCGTTCTGTTCGTTGGCGATAGTGGTGCAGACATTCCTGACGAAGTCGTCCAGCACCTGTCGCGTCCGGAGGAAATGGTGTCCATTGTAGAGTCAAAGGTTGGGCAGAAAGCAGATGTGTTTGTCGTTTGTCCGTCTCGGTATGAGGGCCCTTTTGCATGTTATGACCACATGCTGAGGGGAACAACAGCAGCAGGTGACCCACTGGGGTACCATGGATCTGATATCAAGGCTTGCCGCCACATCCACGCCCTGCTTTCGGATGTTCAGTTGCGAGTTGGTGCCGACAGCAATCGAAGTGGCGATGGCCTGAGTCGGCATCAGGGGAAAGGTGGTGAGCAGGGGGAAAATGTAACAGAGGAGGAGGCCGTGGAAGGGCCAAGACGAGTCCCAAGAACAGTAGTTCCACGGACGATTCTCCTTGGATTTAGTAAAGGTGGTGTGGTGCTTAACCAGATCCTCGCCGAGCTTGCGTTCCTTGAAGATCACCCTCACTCTCTTGTGGAGGTCGACAATAACCCCAGCGGCAGCGAACGTAATTCGCTTGCTCATCTACAATTGAGAGATTTCGTGGGGAGTTTTGAGGAGTTCCATTATGTCGATGTTGGTCTGAACTGCCGTGGGGCTTATATGACTGATCCACGAGTTTTGCGGAGTTTCGCTGCAGGTTGCAGAACCCGTCCAAGGCGACTGATCATGCATGGCACTCCCCGGCAATGGTGCGATCGGCGTCGCCCCTGGATTGCTGAAGAGAAGGAGAGGTGTCTTTCCATTCTTCAAGAGGCCTGTGCAGACTTGCAGAAAGCGATGAGTCCCACAGACAATCAGCGGGCTTACGAGGGTTTGAAAGTTGAAGAGCGGTGGTACTCCAAGGGAGAGAAGCCCAACCTCAGGATGCATTTTCGAATCCTGGAGTCTCTTGAACTGGGTTGAGCAGCTGGCTCAAGGGCTTTACTTGAACTTCGTTTTCTGAAAACCCGAAATACTAAAATAGTGAAAAACATGAATATAATCTTGGAGATCGTGTTCCGTACATGTACTGTTCTCTCTCTCTCTCTCTCTCTCTCTCTCTCTCTCTCTCTCTCTCTCTCTCTCTCTCTCTCTCTCTCTCTCTCTCTCTCTCTCTCTCTCT